GTTTTGCGATGGGTAAAATGAATGCAAAAACCCATCGTAAAGCGATTTCGTCGTAAAGCAGGGCAACCGTCTAGCGAGGCACCACTGTAATGCAAGCCCTTAATTAACTAGGCAAGAAGCAGGACCCTCAAACCTTCTGTTTGCAATCAAACTACAACTCATTTGCCATCTAATGTGATTCACTGGTGACTAACTGAGATCTATACAACAGGGGGCTTTCCACACAGTATGCTGATGGCAGCTCTTCTGCCTGCTGACATATAAGTTCCCACTTGATTTCCATAGAGTATGCCGTGGGACTTGGTCATAATTACATTAGTACATATGTTCAAATTTTTAAAAATGGTAAAGAATACTGAGCGGAGTCTCGTGAGATGATGCATTCCATGACAGCTGTTGGAGATGCAGAGAAGGAAGGACAGAACTGAGTTCAGGCAGGAACTACAACTCACATGCTTTTATGGAGCTACTGTATACAGTTTGCCTTTCAATGCCATGCACTGAGACAAGTTCAAGAGGAAACATTGAGCAATCCTCTGTAAGGACAAATAAGGTAAGCATGGGAGAAAACTGCACAAGACAAAGAAGTGTACAATAGGCCTTGCTAACAAATGCCTTTGCCACTCTCTAAGAGAGTTTTCAGGCCAATAGAGATCATTACAATAGGGACAACATGGAATTTATTATAGTTTTTTTATTTATGCAGTGTTCCCACCTAGACAACAAATTACCAAATGGCTATTTACTACAAAGTGTCAGTAAGCAGCTGGTCATTAGCATTGACCTGCAAAGCAGTGGGGAGAATCACTCGTCCGATTCTCCACAGTTTCATTAGGTAAAGAAGTATGGTAAACTTGAACACAAATTTACAAAGATGTCTTCCACTTGCCAGACTATCGATCCTTTAGCCCAGTATTGACCTCACTTGGCATGGGATCATGTGGCCCTCCAGATGTCAGACTATTAATTCCATGCTAGCTGAAGATTTCAAGAGTTGTAGTCCAAAAACAAATGGAAGGCCACAGGTTCCCTCTTCCTGTTTCCACTGAGGTCTTTTTCACTACTTGCAACCTGTTGAAAACAACAACACCGAAAATGCAAAAGACTAAATGTTGATCCTTCTGCATGAAAAGCAAGGATGCTCATCACCAAGCTACAGCTTCTTGCTACCTCCCAGAACACGGCTGGCAACTGGCTGAACACCAGCTAACTTAGGAAGCTACTTTTGATACCTGGCTGTCTTACATTGTCCAACTTCTAAAGACATACAGTATCAGGACAGAAAGTGAATGGAGGAAGTCTACACTGAAAGTTCACACAGTAGAAGCCTAGTGGACTGATGGAAAAATCATTCAAATAACAGCCATTTCAAATATTATGCAGTTTCTACATGGACAACTTTTCCATGCAAGAACATCTACATACTGTAGTAAGATTTACACTCACATTTCAAGCACTCTAAGCAGCTCCTATACATTTTCTCTGACAATCCTTACAAGAATAATGTAAGTTAGATCACAATGTAAATTATCACCACACTGCAGATGAGCAAGGTGTGTGTGTGTGTGAAAGAATTGTTAACTTGGCCCAGGCTATCTAGCAATTTTGTTGTGGCCTAAGTGAGATCTGTGGCAAGGTTTCCTGTACACACAGAGAGAGACCCCATGCTAACACAAAATTCTCATTATGCTTTTTAGAGACCTTTATGAACTACATATAAAGAAAAATAAAGAAGGGACACAGGATAGACTTTGCCTTTAGGTTTCTATAATCCTAAAACTAGACAGAGAAGATAATAGGAGACTAAAACAGTCCTTGTAGGTGTAAGCTAGGGAACAGAGAAGTGCTTTTAATTAACAGACTCTGAACTCTCTCAGGACAGCCTACAAATCTAAAAGCCTACCTTTTGTAATTAGTGCCTTCCCTATGCCCCATCTTAGTTCTTTAAAATCAATTTAATGAGCTTAAAGTACTGTCTTGGCCTTACCATACTCTTGCAGAGTAGGTTAGTCTATAAGGCGATAGCTTGCCTGTGACCTTTAAAACTGACTGGAGATTTGGATATTCCAACCAAACCGCATTCAAGCACTAGCTGTCTAAGGAAGAGGAAGATCTTACAACACATATTAAATTGTACGAACTGTTCTTCAAGCTTGAACATCAAAAGCACATTGACAGACTTCTCAGAAGCTTTTCCATATTTATTAAACTCACTGCTGGCTGATTTTGCCTCTCCTAAACCTCCCTTCCATGCTCCATCACAAAATGTAAATTACAAAGTAACAGGGGATCAGGCTTCTCTTTTCTGTTATATCATTCTGTAAATGCCTCCTAAAGGAAAAGTAATGTACAAATACTAATGACAACATAGACATGATTTTGACCTTTGGGTATATATATATGGTGACCATGGAGACAAAAGGATATTTAAAATTTACTTGGTATTTTCAGCTACTTTGTGATAACAATTGACAAACTCTATTACTACATACTGTACTAATACACACTTTAGTATATACTAATATATTAGTATACACACATTAGTATATACTAATACACACTTTTTGATAACAATTGGCAAACTATTAGTATATACTAATCAGCATTTAACAATCTTTCATTCATTATTATTCACCATTCACATCCCTGTGTTTCTTCTGGAAAGTTTATTGCAACATACAGTACTGTATATAAAAGTCCTCTGACCATTTTAATCTTGTAGCATACCTAGAAAACATACTAACTGGCTAAAAGGACATGACTGGCCCGGAATATGCTGTAGGCTTCACACAACAAAAGGCAAGTCTGAAGGTAGATCCTATTTTGTGTGAGACTCCCGAATGAACATTACTCAAACTTCTCCTGTTCAAAAGGACTACCCCCTGTTTTGATTTGATACCAACAGAATCTGGTCCTTATTTTGCATTTCAGAAAGATAGATGTTCAGGAAGTTGAAATCTGCTCTTAAAAGCACATCAGTTTTCCTCTTGTTTCAGCCCCTCAATTTCCATGGATTTAACATATAAACACCTAGATTTAAGTCAGGGGTGCTGGATACCACGGCATTTCAACCATACAATTCCTACACAAGATGTGAGATACAGCTGCTCATTCACTTCTGTTTCTACATATCCAGAAATTGTTAGGATTACTGTGATTCACTGCATGTTCCTTTTTTCATCTATTAGGTAATAAGAATGCAGATAGCAGGGCATAGCATGATGTCTAAGAGATACGCAACCTTTCCCTACAAATATATAGTCAACTGTTTTCGGGAGGATTTACTAAGAAATAAATCTGCAGAGGACTGACATCCAAGTTATGAAATCAGGAAGTTCTCATTTTGCATATCTCCTCTGCAACAGTGTGTCAGGAGAGTTTAAGCAAATACTCTTTCAAGCTTACAACATGAGGATAACACTGACCAACCTCACAAGGTGGCTGGAAGAATTACAGTCACAGAACGCATGACATAACAAAACACTTTGCTGTTTAGGGTCTAGACACTTTCAGGATCACTGACAGCAAAGTTCAAAGCCTTACTCAGCAAGGAAGGACTCACTGAGTCAGCTGTTTCCTCATCCTAGCCCACCTCTAAAGATTGTTGAGAAGATAAAACAGATGAACCAGACTGGTCATTTTAAGCCCCTTAGAACAGTGGTCCCCAACCTTGGACTCAGCAAGGAAGGACTCACTGAGTCAGCTGTTTCCTCATCCTAGCCCACCTCTAAAGACTGTTGAGAAGATAAAAAAGATGAACCACACTGGTCATTTTAAGCCCCTAAGAAGACAAACGAGATCATAATTTAACCAATTAAAAATAAATAAAAAGAAGGCAATGTGAAGTCTAGACAATTAACCAATTTTTAACCAATTAAAAAAATAAATAAAAAGAAGGCAATGTGAAGTCTTTGGGGCACTCTCAAGAACACAATTAAAAGCATCACACAGCTGTGGTTGGGGCACTGGGTGACCTTGGGTTAGCTTTTCACTCTCTGGCTAGCACAGGGCTGAGGATAAGATGTGGAAGGGCAAAAAAACCACTAATATGTGCATTAGCTTATATTCACACAGGGCTGTGGTGAGGATAAGATGTGGAAGGGCAAAAAAACCACTAATATGTGCATTAGCTTATATTCTGAGGGAAAAAAACCAACCCAATATCAAAAACACAATAAACAACAGGAAGAAAATTAACAATACTGTACTTGCACTGACACTTTTTATAGCAGGGGTGGAAGCCATGTAATCCCCCTTTTTTAAAAAAAAAATCAGGCTGTTGGGGAACTGTAACTCCCATCATCCCTCATCATCCCTGCCCCTGGTGAAGCCTGATTTGGAGGGGGGGGTTGGCTTCCAACTCCCCGCGGGCCTAGAACCAGCCGGGCCAGCCAGGAAGGCGGAAGGGATCCGGGGAGCCTCTCCCCCCCTCGAGCAGGACACCCCCGTTCCGGCGCCCTTCCCCCCCTCCGGGATCCAGGAAGGCGTTGAGCCGCTGGAAGAGAAGAAGAAGAAGAAGCCGCCGGAACCTGAGGTCCAGGAAGGCGGAAGGGACCCGGGGAGCCTCTCGTCCCCTCGGGCAGGACACCCCCGTTCCGGCGCCCTCCCCCCCTCCGGGATCCAGGGAGGCGTTGAGCCGCTCGAAGAGAAGAAGAAGAAGCCGCCGGAACCTGAGGAAAAAAGGGGGCTAAAGAGGGAGCATCCCTGAGGGAAGGATGAGGAGGGAGACGCCCCGCCAGATCCTTTGGGGGGGGGGAGATCCCTAAAGATCAGTAGCACAGAAGCCTCTCTGACAAGGACTTCTCTCCTTCTCCCCCCCCCTCGGCTCCCTGATGCTCCTTCGGGGCCCCCGTCACACAAACACACACCCACATCTTTACACACCCACCCACACACCCCTATTTAACGCCTCCTCAGGGACACAGGCCTAGAGGCGCGCCCCCACCCCCTTCCTCGCCTCAGGCGCTTCCGCCGCCCCCCCCCTTTCCCGGCTCTCTCACCGCTGTCGCCGATGATGAGGAGCTTGAAGAGGTGGTCGTAGTCCCGGGCCATGGCCGGCGGCGGCGGGG